AACATTGACACGTTACCATCCGTCTCACAGCTGCCATTCACATTTTGCCATCTGTCTTTTTTTTTTTTTTTTTAAGATTTTATTTATTTATTTGACGGAGAGACAGCAAGAGAGAGAACACAAGCAGGGGGAGTGGGAGAGGGAGAAGCAGGCTTTCCGCCGAGCAGGGAGCCCGATGCGGGGCTTGATCCCAGGACCCTGGGATCATTAGCTGAGCCGAAGGCAGGTGCTTAATGACTGAGCCACCCAGGCCCCCATCATCTGTCTTAATAATGGCTCTTTTTCTTTTCTCGACCAGAATCCTACCCCCAAACACACATCACTTTTACTTGTCAGGTCTCCTTAATGTCCTTCAGTCTGGAATGGTTTCTTAGTCTTTTTCTGTCTCTTGTGTCCTTGACAGTCTTAAAGAATACAGGTCTTTTAGTCTCCAAGATGACCCTAAATCTGGGTCTGTCCACGGTTTCCTCATGTCCAGAATCAGGCCATGCATCCGTGGCTGGAATGCCAGAGAAATCACACTGTGCTCTTCTCAGCGAATCACACTATGTTGACTTGTCCCAAGGTGAGGTTCATCTTGATCGCATGCTCCAGTTGGTATCTGTCAGGTTTCACCACTGTAAAATCACTATTTCCACTTTTGTATTTGATTGCTGTTTTGGGGGAGATAATCTGACATCACACCAATATCCTGTTCCTTGTTAAACCTCCACCCGCCAGCCCTAGCCTCCACTGATAGTTCCTGCCTATATCAATTACCACTCTAATGCCAAATGGTGATTATCTCTGCTGTCATTCTGTCTGCATTTGTCAATTGACATTGTACTGTAAGAAAGAGCTTTCTCTATGTATGTGTGTGTATGTGTGTGTTTATTTCATTATGGACCCACTGACTCCTGTTTGATTCAGTGGGTTAAAATCTGGTACTCCCATTTTATTCCGATGCCCAGATTTTTCCCCGTTTGACCAGTGGGAATCCATTCATATCAGCTCCTTTTTTTTTCTTTTGACATATTCCAGTCATTCTCGGAGAATTTCCTTATTTTCTGTCACAACAAGATTTTCCATTCTTATCTTGTGCTTTCCCTGCTTCAGCTCTGGAATCAGCCATTTCTCCAAAGAGCTCTTTAATGGACTTTCATTTAGTGAAGGATGGCAGTTAGTATCCAAGATTTGACCACACAGTATTTTCATTGCTACTGGGATATCACATTCTAGGACCTTTCAGCCCCCGGAACTAGGACATGTATGTGTGTGTATAGATACACACATGTATACAAACATCTATAACTCTTCTGTGTGCATACATTTTTTAGAAATGGGCTCATACCAATACTTCCAATGCCAGTCCAACATCTTAGGTTTCTCTTAGGCTCTTTCCTTTCCATGTTTGTGCATCCTTTCTTAGACAGTGAGAAACCTGGCTCCAAGTATTTTAGATATATTTGATTATTTGCTCAATTGATTAAGGCATTTGTTCAGTGTCATCATTCTCATAAACATTCAGGCTGCCTCTTCCATCTGCCACTTTGTTCTCCCTCCTACTGCCCCATTTCCTTGGCAGCCTGGGCGTGCTGCCACCGACACTGGACAGCCCCCTCTCTCACACATCATCCCATTTCCTTGGATACCAGGCACATTGCTACAGATGATGACACAGAGCCCCATATCCTCATTGCCCTGCTTCCTCAGAAGCTGACATCTCAGTCATGGGAAACGTAAGGAAGAAAAGGAAAGATGGGAGGGGAAGGAAAGGTAAAAACCAGATTATGTGGATATATAGTTTGAAGACAGAACTGATGGGATTTGCTGGTAGTTTGAATATGGAGAGTGAAGAGAAGTAAACAATGACTCCAACCAGGGTTTTTGGCTTAAGCTACTGGGGGAATTGAATTGTGATTTACTGATATGAGGACAGAGCAATAGGGGTTTGCTGGGGAAGATCAGGAGCTCAGTTTGGGATGTGCTACATCTGAGACCTCCAAGAGGAGGTGTCTTAAGAGAGGTACTCAGTATGTACGTGCATCCTGAGGTACGGGCTGGAGATGTGTATTTGGGAATTCTTGGCATATAGATGCTATTAAAGCCAGGAACTCAGCTGAGATCACAAAGGGAGTAGAATAGATAGAAAGTTTATGCTGATCCCAGGGACTATTTCATGCCAGGAGATGAGGAGGAACCAGCAAGATAGGGTCAGCAGTGAGGTGGAAGGAAAACCAGGTGAGTGTGGTAATTTGGTAGCCAAGTGAAGCACATGTTTCAATTAATATGAAAGGATCAACTCTGTCCAGTGCTGCTGATAGGTCAAGTAAGATGAGCACCTTGAATCTACCATTGAATTTAGCAACGTAGAGGTCGTTGGTGACGTTAATAACTATTTGTGTGTGGGAGAGGAGCTTGGTGAAAACAGGCTCCAGAAAGAATGGGAGAGGAGAAATGAGAGGCAGCAAAAGAACTCTTTCAAGGGTTTCAGCCTCTGTGTGGGGCACGTAGCCAGTTATCTACTTAGTGTTTTTGGCTCTGCACCCGAGTTTTAGGTCATCCTTTTGTGAGAGTTGTATGAATAACCTTCCATTACTACTACACAAAATTTTTTGCTAAGTATTATTATTTTAAAGATTTTATTTATTTATTTGACGCGAGAGACACAGAGAGGGAACACAAGCAGGGGGGAGTGGGAGAGGGGGAAGCAGGCTTCCTGCAGAGCAGGGAGCCTGACGCAGGGCTCGATCCCCAGACCCTGGGATCATGACCTGAGCCGAAAGCACACACTTAGCAACTGAGCCACCCAGGCGCCCCTTTGCTAGGTATTATTTTGCTGTAGGTTGGTGAAATGATTCTGGTACTGGCTGAGTTATGATAGGTTCGTGGTGTAGCTCCTATATGTTACACGAAGAAATCAGCCGAGCAGTTTCAGTGGCATGATACTGGGGAGTACAAAAGCAAACTTAGATTTGGAAAAACTCTTTGAAGTTCTTGAGATTCTGAACATTTTAGAGAAAATGGACACTTCACAGGTTGTATGGTAATCAACTGCCTTTGGCCTTTTCAACATCTTGACTTATCTCTACAGGAAGTTTCAACCTCGTTTATTAAAGAGTATTTTCTGTGTCCATAAACTTCTTGGTTTATAATGAAATCCTTTTTTTTTTTTTAAGATTTTGCTTGTTTATTTGACAGAGAGAGACGTAGTGAGAGAGGGAACACAAGCAGGGGGAGTGGGAGAGGGGGAAGCAGGCTTCCTGCGGAGCAGGGAGCCTGATGCGGGGCTCAATCCCAGGACCCTGGGATCATGACCTGAGCTGAAGGCAGACGCTTAACGACTGAGCCACCCAGGCGCCCCTATAATGAAATCTTATCCAGAAACTGGAATTAGTTAGATTTGCTGAAATAAATTTAATGGTTTAGGTAAGTGAGTCCTTTATTGTTTAGATAGAAAGTTGGTTGTACCCTTAACTGAGGCTTGGATGGCAAACACGAGGTCCGTGGGCTGCCATATTCCTCTTCTATCATCACGGCTGATCAGCTATGGTACATTTTCCCT